CCAGATTTCTCTGCGTTAGGTAGTTACAGTTTGGCTTCTGATTTTGAAATTGTATTTTCTCTCTTGGGATTATTGAGAGATAGAACTTGAAAGTTGTTGGTGCTGCTGCTGGTGGCCGTAGGAACCAAGAGCGAGAGAAGGAAAAGCTGCTCAGACCAAGATTGCTACGACGTCGTCAGGAACGGTTTCTCTTTCTCAGGTGATTTACCGACCAACACTTCGTTACGTTTACATATTTCAAGTCTGAGCGTGGTGGGTTGGATGGACGGCCTGGCTGATATGATAAGATATGGAACACAAGTTGGTGACTTTAGGGGGAGGGCTGGGTGAGTCGATGCCTGAAAATGAAATTCCCACGGCCCCCAAGGGGCTTGCCACGTGGACGGTCATTTTCCGGTGATCCCTGTTTTTAGTTCCAGCAATCAGCAACCCACACGAGAGTCTTTAGGGTGTAGGTTTAGCTACACTAAGATATTCTTGCCTTATTTTTATTTTTTCTGAAAAAGTTTCCTGGTTTATTCTTTTTTTTTTTTTTTTTGTAATGATTCGAGTTTTATTTTGATAGGAGATTGTTGGTGGGATCTCCCTGCGGACCGAGACCTTCCATGTATGAGGAGGCAACACCTGTCGAGCATACTCTTGACCTCAAGTAAACACTGAGCATCCCTTCGAAACCGGATAGTTAAGAATATATAGAACTATTCAAGAAGACTGTTAATGTTGACTTATAGGAAAAATGGAAAACCATGTAGGGTGTTCGTGGGGACATGGAACCTTGGAGGGAAGTCACCGAACGACAACCTCAGCTTAACGGAATGGCTCAAGTCTCCTTCACCAGCAGACATCTTCGTTATTGGGTATATCTCAGTTCTCAAGACTCCAAGCTATCGCTTTCACTTTCAACTTCAATTGATAGTGTGTTATTGAATGACTGAGACCCACTCGGAGAGCATTGTCTTACCCTCTTATTTACTTCCTTTTATTTTTATCTTCTCCGTTAAGAAGACAGGAGTAGTACACTGTACATTCACTGCCGTTAACCGCACTGTGGCACTGTCACACACAACATCAACGTGCCCTAGCTTATATGATCCCCCGAATAGGGCCTAGTTCCATGTATGAAGATTTATGTGCTGTTGTATAACATGCGTGCTAGTCATTAAACGATAAAAAAAGAGTCCAATTTGATGAATAAAATTATGTAGTTTTCTTCCTCCGGCTGGGTTCTGTAGTGGTCACAAGGTAATGTCTGTTTTACAGGTTCCAAGAAATCGTGCCTCTGAATGCAGGGAACGTGCTTGCCCGGAGGACAGTGGCCCCGCGGCAAATGGCTTTCCATTATTCGTCAAGCCTTGGACACTGAGAGGTTTGACCAAGACCTCCATCACGAGAATTCTCGCCCTCATTCTCGGAATTGCAACGACAAGGGCGCCGATCAACTAGGAAGAACGAAGCCGAGGTTCAGTTTCTCGGACTTTCTTTCTTCAGAGGACCAGCTGGGCGCTGAAGAATTTGCTGAATTGTCTCGTGACAAATCAAATGCCAGTTGTGGCGGTGAAACTGAAAACTCTCCTTCGCCTTCTACGAGTGGCAGACATTGTAGCAGTAGCCCACATCTTAAACGACGCTATTGCCTAGCAGCAAGCAAACAAATGGTCGGTATCTTCCTGTGCGTGTGGGTTCGTTCCGACCTCTACGGACACCTTTCCAATTTGAAGGTGTCCTGCGTCGGTAGGGGCATCATGGGCTATCTTGGGAATAAGGTTAATTATTTGGACCTATGTTGTCTCCTACTTGTCTAGAGCTGCAGTGTGATTAATCACACTTAACTTTCCTTAATTACAGGGCTCTATATCAATTAGCATGACATTGTACCACACATCCTTCTGTTTCGTATGCACCCACTTAACTTCGGGAGAGAGAGACGGCGATGAGGTGCGAAGAAACTTCGATGTCTCCGAAATTTGAAGAGAACTAAATTTTCCCACCCTTCGAATTATAGGGATCTTCGACTCCCTCCTGAGACCATCTTGCAACACGAGTAAGTCCTTCTTTCTTTCTTTTTGTTATTCATACATTGGAACAGTCTGTTGATCATGGTTATAATTTCTGATTGGCCCTTTCCTTTCATTTTTGGCATGTGCAGCAATATTGTTTGGCTTGGGGATTTGAATTATCGGTTAGCTTCTGGTTATGACTATACATGTGAGCTATTGGAGAAGAGCGATTGGCTGGCACTTTTAGAGAAGGATCAGGTAACTAGCTGAGTATTGTTACTCAGCCCTTTCGTGGAATAACATATTTTAGTTCTTCTCTGATGTTGGATTGGCTTTGATTGGCAGCTAAGGATAGAGCAGAGAGCTGGTCGTGTATTTGAAGGGTGGAATGAAGGAACGATATCTTTCGCTCCTACTTACAAATACCTGGCCAATTCAGATCGCTATGTCGTCCATACTTCCAAATCCAAGGAAAAACGTCGCACTCCTGCTTGGTAAGATTACATCACTCCCTCATCATAATAAGTCTATTCTTTCACCTTTTTCTTTTTGCTGGCCACTGTATTATATCCATAGTTCATACTGTATTGCTGTTTCTCTTGCGTGGTTCTGTCTTCTAAATGATTGCTTATTTAATTTATCGCAAGTTGCCAGGGGGCCTGAACCGTGCCAGTAGAAGCAAGCGTCTTGATTAATATTGTGGTCGTGATTTTGAAAATAGAGCAATTTGCATTTGTTTAAAAAGTGATGATTGATATAATTTGTCTGCCTGTGTTTAATTCCCAATTAGTCAACCACAAGCGTGATCATCAATAAACAAAGTACCGTGTCAATGTTATCATTAGCAACGATTCCTCGTATTATCCAATGTGGTTTAAGACGGTGCATCGCCTGCCAGCTTGAAGATTAAAAACCCGAAGCCCCTCATTGTTTTCAATAAAAAATCACATGCAATGCAACCCCCATATCTCAAAAAAAAAAAAACAATTTTTTTTTTTTTTATTTCAGGTGCGATAGAATCCTATGGAAAGGAGAAGGCCTGAAGCAGATGTGGTACGTGCGAGGAGAGTCAAAATTCTCAGACCACAGGCCAGTGTATTCACTCTTCTCAATTAAAGTGGACTTAACGAGCAAGAAGATAATTCCCTGCTGCTTCAGCCTTGTCATCGACTTGCCCAGCCAAGGTTCAAGTAGAGGAACAGCTCATGTTGCTAACACGGGCAAATAGTTGAATAGGTGTGCGGAGGAGCCCTGGTTCTGACTTGATTGATGACACCTGACAAGGTTATATATAACACTAAGCTTGGCAAGGCCAAGGGTTTCAGCGATGGGCATGGGTGTGTTCCTCAGTTTTACTTGGAACATGCGAGCCTCGGCGTGACAACTTTGTAGCATCCCACCAATGAAAATTTTCACAAGTGAGTAGTAGCATCATTTTGTACATAGTCTAGAGATTTGAGGTGACAATGATTAGAAGGTGTTGGGAGCAGCAAAGGAGTAACTCAGAAGCAAGACAAGAAGACAGGACAGTGAAGAATCGGAGAAAGAGGCGCCTGCTTCTGCGGGCATTTCTTGTCATGCGTGTTCTTTTTTTTTTTATATAAATATTTTCTTTTCTTAAATAATATTGGGTATGGATATTATATAGTATTATGCAAAAGCTTGGCTGTTGTAAAAGCTGATTAGATTTTAGGATTTAGCTCAGCTTTTGCTTCGAGGAATGATGATTTCCATTCTTTCTGATTCAAGGCTGAAAGAAATAGGCAAGGGTATATAAAAACTGATGACATATTGAGGCATTTTGTCTGGTTTGTGTCTTTGTGATCATCATTCAAATTTCAACGCACGAAATTTTTCTTCTGTGACGAATCTGAGGCGAGCAAGCTTAACATTTGTGATTGTTTATTTGGTTCGAGTATGTCGGTCTCAATATAAACAATCGGCGTTTGATCAAATGAGATAAGTGAATCGCCAACTAATCTCAACTCTAGTTGTTGTCCTTTCATTTTCAGATGATAAATATGACGATAATAATTCGAAGATGAACAAGATGGACCCTAATTTATGCTGCGCTGTGGATGTTTCGCGTTTGCAATGCTGTAGTTGTCGAACGAAGTAATCGACGGTTTATTAAATCAGCATAAAAAATGACAAGTAGCAATTTAAAATAAGTTTGGCTAATAGCAATCCACATTCCACAGGTAGGCAGTTGGATTGCGTGTTGCTTTATTCGTTAAATGCTGAGCCAATTTTGTTCTTTCCCCAACAGAAAGTATTTCATTTAAAGATAATAAATTTTATGGTTGGTAAAAAAAGATAATAAATTTTATGAACATTCATGTATTCACATGTTTCAACTCTTATTTTTTCACCCTCTGCGTAGACTTTCTGATTGTGTTTTTTTCCCCCAAATAAATTTAATCCGTTCAATCCTATTTATATATTTTTGAAAGAGAGATTTTGAGCTTTTTTTTATAAGACAATATGATGATTATTTATTATAATTTTTTTCACCTCTATTTATTGTTCATGTAAGAAGGCAGGACATTTTTTAAAAGTTATTTAATACAGTCCAAAATAATTTTTTTAAAATTAAAAAAATTTAATTTTTTTAAAAGTTCTTCAATTCAATATATAAGTCATTTTTAAAAATATAATCTGGTCCATTTTATAAGTCATTTATTAATAAAATTATTTTATTTTAAATTAAAATTTTTAAATTATTTTTAAAAAATAAAAGAGAGAAAAATAAAAAAATAATATTATATAATTAATTTTTTTTACTTAAAAATTATGTTTAAAATTTTATTTATTTTTATTATATTAGTATTGATAAAATTATAGGAATGATTTGCAGGAAGCATTAGTTAAAGGCAGGGCACATGGAGCTGGTAAGACCGTTAGCCGCCCTTCTCCACCAATGATGTTTTACCACGTGGACGGCATGAGCATGGTTTCGTAGCATGGAAGCTGGTTAGATGAAGCAGCCGCACATGGTGATCACGCCCTGATTCCCACCTCAACCGTTACCGCCCGGCGTTAAGTATTTCATCGTACCACGTGTACGGTTCCGATGGCGCCTCCCTCCATGCCATCGTGCGCTCCACCATCTTCTCACTTTCCCCTCGTCGACATATTCCTCCCCATCTGACCTCCCCGAACTTGCTAGATCTCGCCGCTAACCGCGTCCGTGCTTTTTCCGGCGCTTTTTCTGGTCATTCTCCGATGGCCATATTGTTGGGTGTGTTTACGCGTTGATCGTGTGGCTGTGAGGGTATGTATCTAGAGATCCTTCGTTTCTTGTCCTTGGTGGCCTAGCTAGGGTTTCCAACTTCAATGACTGCCGCTGCTGCTCATTGTTTCCTAGCAAATGAGGGGTGACAAATAAAATAGGCATCCAAGGGCCATTGCAATGTTGTTGTTTTTTTGCCTCTTCATTCAAAGCAAAAACATGTCAGTTCCACTGTGGGTTGTGATTTCCTTTTGCCTGACCTGACTGAAAATATTTGATTCCACATATATGAAATTTTATATTTCACACTTTGATTGCTTTGAGGGGGAAAAAAACAGCACATGCAACTATATAAAGTTTTTGCCTTTTAGTTCACTTCAAAGTAACATTTTTTTTTTTGGGTCCGCTCATCGGCAGGCAAGTTGTTGAGTTGAAGGGGAGGGGACATTGGTTCTCAGTGACTTAAACTGCTGCTTGCAACTCAGTGAGAAGTTCGTTGATGACAAGCTTGTTAAAGAGAGACTTATATATCAAGAGTTGTCTCATTAGCAATAAACTTGCGGAGGAGAAGGGAGATGGTATGTTTACGGAACTTGTGATTTCAAGTTAACGTTTTGAAATGCATCTATTTTAAGGTCTGAAATTTGAGATGTTCAAATTTTCTGTTGCATATTTTTTGGTCCAGTCCACTTTCAGCTACAATCGGAATTTTTGTGAGAGGAAAATGTAACAAGGATAATATACTTACCATAGGCATACTTATGTAAATGCATTTTTCGTTATTCAAGAGCACAAGGGACACAGTAGGGTACGGAAAATCTGTGATGGAGATTTAGATTTGCCTGGGACAACGTGTGGTTCATCTTAATTTTTAGTTGTAATTCACTGGTGATGGTTTATTTAAAACATCTCTATCCATAGCCGTTGTTACGTATTTTTTTTTCACACACAGAGAGAGATGTCAAGAGTTCTCAGTATTCCTTTTTAATTCATGTTAAGGTAAAGGAGAAATTACAAAGTATTGCAGTGGTTAAGAAATTTTCAAAAAGTCTTCCTTGCAAGAATTAACAGTATTCCCGTTATTCAAAAAAAAAAACAAAAGAAAAGAAAAGAATTAACAGTACACCCCCTTTTTAGAGAAGAGAGATCTCTGTAGATATAGTATCAGGTGCTGAACTGTGTTTAAAAATCTTTATAGCGCTCTCTGAATTAGCTGAGGTAAAGTAAAAAGTAGAATCAGAGAGAAGCGATTTTTGAGAACAAGTATCTTACTCGAGGTGTTTTTTGGATTTGTTGTAAGGAGGAGAGATGGGATCCTCAATTTGTCTGTTATTATATGAAGTTGTATAAAGTTGCAGTAGAGGATTAATACCTAACGACGACCTCTTGAACTAGTAGCTGACGTATTAATGTTTTCTAATTCAAGGATATCCCTTAAACAGTTTCCATAATTAGGCATATACACTAAGAGTTTCTGATCCTACTTAGATTAGTTCACCGTGGTTCCATCCCAAATCTCCAGACAGGTTTTGGGCTCAGATTTATTATCATTGTAAAATTTTATATTAAGGGTCATTGCTATCATTAATGATGAGGTTTCATGCAATACTTGTTCTTCTCCATGGTTTTAACTCCACTGGACCACTTTTATTGTATGGTTATTATGATATGCATTTATATGCTTTTTTTTTTTTTCAAGTGTGCATATATCATTCACAATTTTCCTCTTCGAAATTATTTGGTGAATGTGTCTCTCTAATAATGACTTTTCTTTTGGCAGTCTTTTCATAATCAGGAATCTTGGATGGCAAAAACTGCTGGGAGTCTAAATGATGGTGACATGACTTATAACAATTCTTCTAGAGTGGGGTCCAAGCGTTTTCATCAGTGGTTCATGGATAACCCTGAAGTGGATCTGTTTCCACGAAAGAAACAAGCAGTAGAAGTTTCAAGCAATAATTTGTTATCAGGAATGTATAGCACCAATAACCATTCATGTGGAAATTCCTCAAGTTTGCACTCATTCAGTGGTCATTTTTTGAACAATTATACGACCCAGATGCTTCAGCTAGGGCTTTGAGTTGTGAAAACAGGAATATTTCCCCTCTTAGTGCAGATAAATTGACTGTAGGACAAAAGGATAACATGGATCACTTTGGAAGCTATTCCTCATTTATGACCCATGCAATTGACGATCAAGGATCAGGTCTAAACTACGGTGGAATTAAAAAGGTTAAAATTAGTGAGGTGAAGGATTCTGAGAATGTCATGTCAGTTCCTCCAGTTCATACCTATGATATGAGATTCAACAACCCTTTGTCAAATCCCCATGTGCACAGGGGGGGTGATTATCCTACATCAACAAGTCTCACTTGCAACAAAGGGGATGAGAATATTGTGTCCGTGGATGATGATTATGGCAGGGCATACAACAATTTGATTTCAATATGTCAATCGCATAGCAAGGGAGACGATGGCTTATCTATAGGTCAAACCTACAAAGAGCCTTCTAATTCGATATCAATGGGCCAGGCATTCAGTAAGGAGGATAGTAATATGTCTATTTCTCAAGCTTATGACAAGGCAGAGGATAATTCTATTTCAAGGCATAACATATTTAATAAGGGGGAGGATGGCACCATTTCAGTGAATCATGCATACCACCAGGATAGAAATAACAAGTTATCAATTGCTTATTCTTATAACAATGGAGAAAGCACAATTATATCCTTTGGTGGCTGTGATGATGATGATGGTCATGTTAGTATAACTCCCTCTGGCAGACTCATATCCAACTATGAACTGATGATGGGTCAACCACCTACACAGAGATTGGAAGCTGTGAATGAGAAAGAGTTGGTTCTTTCTAATTCTGGCTCATTTCTTAGTGCCTCCCTGACATCTGTTTCTGGAACTGGAAATGTTTCCCAGACAAAAGAGGAATCAAAAATGTCTAAGAAATTTCCTTCAAATAACTTCCCTTCTAATGTCAGAAGTTTGCTGTCCACTGGTATGCTGGATGGAGTCCCTGTGAAGTATATGGCCTGGTCACGGGAGGTAAATTTTAGTACTCATGAGTTCATCTTTCACAATAGCTTATCTATGATTCATTTCGGGTTCTTCCTATGCTTGTTAAAAGGAACTTCGTGGTATCATAAAAGGGTCTGGGTATTTATGCAGCTGCCAGTCATGTAATTATTCCAAGGTAAGCTTGTTAACTAAACATCATAGAGGGGCAACCCTCTTTGAGCCAAATTTCCACCTCACACCTATCTTATGTTTCCCCAGGTTATTAATGCATATGAGTTTGAGCGTCATGCTGGTCGTAAGACCAAGCACCCCAATAATCACATTTACTTTGAAAATGGGAAAACTATATATGGGGTTGTTCAGGAGCTCAGGAGCACTCCACAAAATATGCTGTTTGATGTGATTCAGACAATAACTGGTTCACCAATCAATCAGAAATCCTTCCGCATTTGGAAAGGTGTAATTTCTCTGTTACTTATTGTAGTGATGCTGATTGAGTTTTAATCTGATCTTTATCATTTTTGGTTGTGTGAAATGACTCATCTTTATCTTCTAACTCCTCACTTGGATCTTTCTTTCTCATCTGCAGAATCCTTTTTAGCTGCAACACGGGAACTACAACGCATATATGGAAAAGATGAAATGAAGCAATTGTCATAAAGGTGCGCCATTTGACCTGCGAGATAGGAGGATCATTATTTCGTGCATAGGAGTAATCATTTGGATATATTTTTGTTAACTGATTATCAAAGCCTAACCCCAACTGTTTGAATCTCCGTTTTGAGGACAAGCTATCTTTGGTGATATACATGAAAGCATATTTATCTTTGATTAATGTATCATTGATATTGAGTTGGTAAATTTTATGAAGAGAAGCTGACTCAATATCTTTTTGTCTTACTGGTGGAGCAACAGATTCACTAAATGCTTGCACTCTTGTATCAAACGGAGTTTGTTGTATTTTTCTCAAAGTTCTTACATTCTGTCTGTCATTATATAGATAGTTCTTTTTGGAAGTGGTGTTCTCGACTTAAGTAAGCAGCATTCTTGATCTAAACCCCATTTATTATCTGATAGATGTAAGTTTGTGAGTTTCTTGGTGCTGGATAAACCTTGTTAACATTTTCTCATTTTTCTGATGCTTAAAGGAATGAAGAAAATAATAGGAAAATTTGCATTAGTAAATTGTATGGTGCCAACTGAATGTTTAATGATGATCAAGGAGTCCCTTACCTCACAAGTCCAACCTGCTTTTGAAATTTCATGCTGCTATTAAGAAATAATTGACATCCAATTCCTGCATCTTTGTATATTGTAATATTCAAAGAGGAGACATTTTCTTTGCCATTTATCTTCCTGCATTATTATTGTAACTTGTTACATTATAAACCTCTGAAGGATTAAATAATTGGACGTCCACATACTGTTATTGTGTCATAAGCATTTGGAGGGGACATTGTGGCTTAATGCTCTGGGATAGTTGAAATTGAGATAGTTATTGCTATGCTTTCTTCATACTTGTTCATCTTGAGCTATGATGCCTTGCCCACAATTAGTGATAATAACAACCTCGTTATTGGAATTGTCCTTTCTGATACTGCTTTCATCTGTAATTAGCCTAGTTGGTGATATTGGTGTTGATGGATCATAATCATTGCTTTTACCCCACACCACAAGGTACAGGCCCAAAACAATGACAACTGCACCTATCACCCTGTAAAATTGATTAAATTTCTTTAGGTTATATATTTTTCTTGCTAAGCATGTGATTAGCTTGGCATATGATTTTCATAATTACCTTCCAAGGTACATTTGCTCAAACAGAATGAATGAGCCCATGACAGCTACAATTACCATGCACAGGGGACTAAACGCTGTCACAAAGACAGGACCTCTTGCTTTCATTACTACTCCTTGGATATAGTAAGTCAGTCCTGAGCAGACGATGCCCTGCATGCATGCATGCATTTATATTCTGAGAGTAGAGTCATGAAATTTCGTTATACGTTTTCCTACAATTCTACTTGTACTTTCTCAAAATATTATGGCTGTAAAGCCTAAGCTTTCTTACTATTTAACACAGCTATGTAGCCATGAAACTTAGGAGAGGAAGACATAAGGTGGAAATATCCAGGTGGCTCCAAGGTAGGGCAGCTAAATTATTTGGATGCCAGTATTAGTTTTGCCAGTTGACTTATATTTTCTTACATGTCAGTACAGAGATGGTTTTGATGCCTTTCCAGAAAGGAACTTCCTTTTCACTGTGTAGGAAATTTTCCCTCCCCTTTTTTGACAAAAACATAATGGAGAGGAATTTTCCCTCCCCTCCAAATTGGGGGGATTTGGAGGGATTCCTCCCCCTCCCCCTCCTCCTGTTAAAGTCCCTCCCCTCCCTTCAATCAAACATAGCCTTGGGTGCGAGGTGACAAGAAATTTGACAGTCAGCACAGGTGGTTATGATGTCTACCCGAATAGGAATTTTCTTTAGGCTATGGGGTGGAGTGTGTGAAACTTTGAATGTAATGAACACATGGTGATGTGTTTCTCTTGTATTCTCATAAGTCTAGTTATGAGGCCTTACACTGTAGACAGCAGCCAGCAATTTCGTATCCCAATGCAGAGACCAAACTGAAGGATTTCTTCTTTCCATAATCAGGGCCACTGTGGCGCCTTCAACTGTTCCCAACAAGCATATCCATGCAGTGAGAGAGAGTTCGGCAGGGTAGGTTTCAAGGGTAATGACCTACAGAGAAACAGAATGGTCTGAGGAATCAAAACTATTATTTGGAATACTTTTACATAAATTCTGGAGATTAACTCACTTGGAGGATCATGAAACAAGACCAACTAAAGCAACCCATGGTGATCATCACGGATCCTTTAATATGTTGAAGATATGGCCCGCCACTTTGCTGGTCGTGGATATTGGTACCAGGTGCCCCAAAAATTTCAAGCACCGGGCCTTTCAACAATGTCATGAGCATGGCTCCAGTAGCTGTTGCTACAGTCCCTGCCACCTTTGCATGGCTGCGTATGCTTCTTAATTTTATCTTCTCAAGCCTGGCAAGTAGAGAAATCATTGGGAAAATAGCATGAATCATTTAGGCGTAGATGTATACCTGATTGAATTTGCCAAATCTGAAAGATACTCCTGACAGAGAGGTGACAGTGAGAACGTGTTTAGTTACCTTAAAATCCAAGCCATCAGGAAGGTAATGGCGGGAACCATGTTGCTCATTGCTGAGGCAAAAGTTGCTGTTGTGTACTTCATTCCCAAAAATATAAATTCTGGTCAATCACAGGCCTGCCAATAACAAAATTAGACTACTGTTTTGTCACTGTTTTCCGTGCAATGGAGAATGTGTTTAGCTATGCAGGTAATTACTCTAGAATGCTTAGCGCCACAATCTTCGTGAAGATTGGAATTGTCATCTTAGGCCTGACTTCCCTGTTAAGACAACGAAGCATATCACCACTTTAATCTCGTTCCCACACGCCCACCCACACACTCACACACACAGACACAGAGAGAGAGAGAGAGAGAGAGAGAGAGACTTGTCCAGAATGACTGCAAAAGGGGTCATGATGGCAAAGGCAATAGCATGTCGGTAGACAACAAATACGTAGTTGCTCATCCCCTTGTTCAGTGCAGCCTTAGATAGAACATCCATACCTGCAAATCCAAACTGCAAGAACAGTACGGCCATGAATGGCTTCACTCTTTCAAACTCACGTTTTCCCAGGAGCCTCATCGTGTATGTCCCTGTGCTCTCTAACTTTAAAATGTTTCTCTAGTCCCAAGAATGAAGTAGCATGCCTTGGTAGGCTCATGTTATATAGGCTGCAAACGCATATACCATATACTATCCATCATTGCCTAAGGGTTTTTTTCCCCCCAGCATGTGCACCCCGTATCTTAAACTTAACCCATTTCAACCAAAGAATTTATTGGGGCCCAGACTAATCCGAATCAAGTTGAGTAAAACTCTTTTGGATGGCAAGCTATACCACCAAAGTATTTACTTCGATGACAATTCCAAGCTTGAACTCAAGACTGTTAGTCAAGATGGTACAGTTCCTTTGCCGAATGAATTAAGCATTAGAAAGTAGAAACTTCATTGTTTTACTAAATCAAACGGTGTGAAAAGTAGTTGCCAAAGTATCCATCTTGAGAATTATTTAAAAGGCCATGTCTACTGTCAATTATTACCTTCTTTTGTATAGTAGAATGCTACTCATGGTGGAGTAGCTTTTGTCATATCGGTGTCTTGGATTCTTTTGTGGCTTGTTTCCATGGTTTTGAGCATCACAAGAGATTTTCTACGGAGGCATTTTGGTTGCTCATTGAATGAGGAGAAGCATCGAGATGATGCTTGCAAGGAGGAGTGATTGTTAATGATTGAGCGCGACTACGTGATAGCCCCAAATTGCACATAAAATTCTGTGTCGTAATTATTTCTGCGTTCTCCCTATATTACTTTTTCTCGTCTGACAAGTTAAAAGCAGAAGATAAAATATTGGGAGGAGGATCTGGATAAGAAAGAAGGATTTGGAAATAATTCAGGTGCATTATTGAGTCGTTGTCCAATGAGCCTCATTGTTACCCATGAAGGATAATTAGCACACGCATGAATGCTATCATTTCATAATTAATCTCCCAAGGCGCTAGTGCTTCGGTCAGTGATCAAGACTCCAAAGTATGTTAAGCACAAGCTCCACTTAGTAGTAGTGTTTTGGCTTTTGTGTGTGTATATTTGTTGCATTTGCTGTTTTTGCATTCCTTCTGTTCTATCCAAAATAAAGAAAGAAGTCCCACTTAGTAGTTGGTGGCTTCAACCCTTTTCAGACGTTTGCTTTCTTTGTGCTTTTGATATGTATAGGCACTATCTCCTATCCAGACCCCATTCAAAGCCTTAAAAATACTAAGACGTCCCAAAAGTATTAAAATTGCGAGTGCGCTTGTGCCCCTTCTATTACAGTAAAAAAAAATTGTGCTGTGACTGTATTTATATGGCCCCTCGTATTCCAGCAATATTCAATGTTTTTTTTTTAGCTTATAAGTATTTTCCTATTTGAAACAATTTAATTTAAGATATGGTGAGGTATTAAATATAGACACCTCTTTCACCAGGAATTTGAATTTACGTTTGTCATGTTATGAGAAATTAGTTTTTTCTATTAGACTTAACTTTTGTTGGTATATTCAATGGAGTCTTATTTAAATGCATGTCCCTATTACTACTTGTTTCCGACAAGTTGAGAAGTGGAAAACGAATGATAAATGAACGGATGAAAGCAAGTACCCAAGCCAAACACTAATTTCATTTCCTTTTGGATGAGTTTTAGAAATTTCGGTCTTTAATTAGTTTATTAATTTTTTGGAACAGGAAATCAGGCATGATTGCTTCTAATCTTATGCATTAACATTATAAATTTAGAGTAATCAGTTAAGATGAGGAAGATGAGGAAAAAGGATGGGGATGCTGGGGTTTGCTTTTCCATTTTATAAGCGGTGGCCATGACGGCGCGAATGAAAACGGACACCAATTTGGCTGCACACACTGGGCGAGTAAGCCACTCTCTCACACACGCACACGGTGTCTCACCTTGTGAGTTGTTATTTCATGTTGTATGCTCGCTCGAGCAAGATCGAATTGTTGCCACCTTCAGGGTGAATGAAACTTTTATAATCAATCTAGGTGCAGTGAAAAGCAACTTCAGTTTCAGGCTCATATCTTCGAATATTTCAATTTTTTTATCCCATTCTTGGAAAATTAAGAATCATCCAGATGATCACCCCATTAAAAAAAAAAAAAACACCACCCCGTTATAAAGACAGACAACATTTTCGACATTTTAGCAAACAAGACGGAATCTCTGTATTTCAAGTTGAAGCCAAGACCTTTGACCAAAAACAAACAGCTGAGACCAGAAGATTTTCAGCTGGGGACTGAAAAATTTAAGTCCCAAAAGAAACCCCAATTTATACAGTGTCTGGCCTTTTGAAGTTCTTTGTTATAGGTTTGAATTTGCTACAACTATGAAAACCCTGCCTTCTCAAAATAAGCACAAAGCTTTTTCCAAGTGCATGAAGACGAATGTGTGAGGTCTCTCGCTCAAATACTACATAATTGTAGTAATATAAAAATGACTTAGATAATTAGATTTATTATTTCAATACTGGCAAGGATTCATTGAATGAAGTTCTCGTTTCCAAATTATTGGCGGACACTGAAGTGACTGAACCGTATTTTAAGGACTTTCTCGTTTTGATTTGTAATTGAGACGTATATATGGCTGAGAATGATAGGTATCATTTTGGCCAAGGACAAAAAAAAGGAGGGAAAGAGGAATGATAAATATCAAAAAGCGTGGCGGCGGTGAGAACAGATATCACAAACCTGAGATGTTGTGATGAGCATGTGGCCAGCAATTAGCATCAATCAAATTTGCTGATGGAGCATTTGTCCTCTTACTCAACATTTAGTGTATTCATGTGAAAATTTCTTCTATTTTATGTTGCTTTTTTTCTTTTCATATTTTTTTTGTAAGGTATCTGATGTTATTAATTATTTTCAATTTGAATTATGTTGAATTTTAAATGAAAACTAATCTCTTTCAACATATTTTTTCAGAAATTTGAACATATTTAATCTTGTTCTTGCCCTTGAAAAAAATGTTAGGTGTATATTTATATTCCCTCCGTCCCAAATTATAAGACATTGAAGAAATTTTTTCGTCCTAAAATATAAGGCATTTTAAGTAGAGTAAGATTTTATTAAATGTACTAATTTTAATATTACCCTTTCTCTCTTCAGAATTAATTTTCGTCCCTTTTCTTTTAATGTATTAAATGATATGTATTTTTATAAGTTTATATTTTTTAAAAAGATAAGGTTGTTAAGTATATTTAATGAGATTTATTGATATGTAAAATTTTATTTAAAAGTATTTTATAATTTGAGATGGGGGAGCAAATTAGTATTTTTGTTTTGGGCCTGAAAGGTAACGACCCAACTTCATCGTTTTGCCCAAAGCAATCACCGTACAGGCCAGGGTCCTGGGTAATTGGAGAAGCTTTGTTATTGTATTACGCGGTGCGAGTATAATTAATATTGTTCGTTCCTTTTCTTACTTAAAAAAATCCGCTAAGAAAAATAAAAAATTCATTTATTTATGGTTATTATCAATTTTCTAAATTTTTTTATTATAAGTAAAATATAACAGCCTTTGGAATTCTAAAGATCTGGTTGGTTGGAGGAGATGAAATTTTAATAAGTTTGATTTTAATAAATGCAGAAGTGTGGTTAAAAAATTTTAATTCATTTTTTCCCTCTTTTAATTTACATCTTCTTCTAATTAAAATTTTGTATACCATAAATTTTATTAAATAGAACAAGTTAGTGATTTAAGTAACTTTCTTAAATGTTTAAATTTAAAAAATAATGAATAATTTGTTTTCCAATAAAAGTGATAAGTATATTATTTTAGAATAACTTCATAAAAATATATAAAATTTAAAATTAAATTTTTTTAAAAAAAAAAGTATATTTCTACGCAGGTTACAATTTTATCATAATTCCTATAATAAAAATATTAAAAAAAATCTAATTTAACCCCCCTCCCCCAAAGTACAATCACGTATTGAAAAAGTTAAAAGGCAACGTGTGGCTTTCAGTTGGCCAATTAGAAGGCTTTGCAGCTGAGCACATTCGATGCTCATCAGACGCGTATTCATCACCTCTGAATTCAGATTTAACTATCTTTTTTAATTTTTTTAAATTTTTAAAATAAAAATGTATATAATTTTAAATAAATATATTTATTATTAACATGTATTATTCATATTTAATTAGATGAGTTCAAATTTAATATAATTTTTTATAAATTGACCATACAAATTTAACCTATATTATTTAGATTTAAAATTTTTAACTTGTTATACTATCAAATTCAAAACAATTTAGAGTAAACTTATATTATCAATTTATAAAAATTATAAATAATTAATATTAATTTAGATTAATCTAATTAAATATAAATGGTACATGTTAACAATAAAATATATTTGTTTAAAAATTCATAAATTTTTATTTTAAAAAATAAAAAAAATGTAGTTAAATTGAGATGGTCCATATTGGCTCAGGGGTAACCCCATTAAATGTGCTCCCGGCTTTATAAAAAGAAAAAAAAAAGAAAAAACAAAAACAAAAACAAAAGACGCACTCAAAGAGGTAGATAGATAGAGTGAGAGAGTTTGAATTTGTTTTCAGGCTACTGCTATTTTTTTTTTTGAAAATAAAAAACTTCCAATTATAATATTGCTCTCATCAACAACCGATTCCCCGTCAAAAGTTGAAGAATAATTCGTTGCCATTATTTTTTTAAAAAAGTTTTTTAACAATTTCCAAATTATTTAAAGGAGTGATAGTTGTTTAGCTCAACTTACAAAATTGATAACCCACATCTTATCTCCATGATTTTGGCATTTTCTAAGATGATGACCTCCAAAAGAAAGAAAAATGGAAAAAAAAGCAGTGTGCGTCTGCTTCGTGTTAGATTTGATGTTTTAACGATGACGGTGGTGCATGAATAAAGAAAGGATTTTTGGGAGATTTTCCAATTCCTTTTGAATTCATTATCCATAGCATTACAATCATGAATCACGGCGAGGATGACGATCCGCCACCTCTTTATTTTTCGTCCTTGAACCCCAATTCGTCCTCCCACCACGCGCGTAAACAAGATATTGCGTTTGGAGTAGTAGGACGCTACCTTCATTCCATCTTTAAATCCTCAATCCATTGGTTGGTGGTGTGATTAATTGGCTATTCTTTTAAATTCCGAATCCCAATCAATGTCAATTTCTTTTCTTTCTTTTTTTCAATAATGTCTTTCAATTTCATCATACAATAAACTAGGCGTTTGGACACTGTTCGGGATCAGCCCAAGGCTTATATGTTTCAGCCCACTACCTATTTATAAGCCCAACTAGCAGCAAACAAAACTCTTGATTCGAAGAGCGGGCGATGAGAATAATCACTGCAGCTCAAGAATCAATCAGATGGTGATATTGGCATCACTCATAGCAAATTAATTTTTCTTTTTAAATTTTGAAAATATTGCTCAAGATTAAGGAAGGGGCGGATCGGTGGCTTGTAAAAGCCTGCGCACAAGAAATTAGTTGTAACAATAAATTAGTGTATTGTAGTTTGATTCCTCAATACAAGCATCCACAATTGACATCCAATGAGTAGCATCTGTAAAATAATGAAGATAATCAAGCACTGACGACAACGCTGGTGACAGAAATTAACTTCCTCAGTCCTATTGGCAGCCTCGAGTATGTATGTCCATTAAGAACCACAGCAGGCTGATTTTTGGGCCGCTTGAGTATTCGCCCTGTTTGGTTGATACTGATTGTCTGAGGCTGCAAGCAACCACGTATGAACACAGTGGAGAAATTGACATCAAGACCAGAAAATAGAGTTTAAAGAATAAAACCTCAGTCCTTGAATCATTATTTGCTAGTCTCTGCTTGATGTCCCGAGCTATTGAAAAGAAAACCTCCTCAACATTCAAATTTGTCTTTGCTCTCTGTAAGAACATACTCTCACAGTCACAAACAGATGAATCCGATGATCCAATATCGAATTAGGCAATGACTTCTAATTACAGTCTCAAAGAATTTGATGCCATATTCATCAGCTAGAGCTTGACCCTTTGAGGTTGGAACGGCCTAAGGAGAATATTGTTGGGCATTAAGTTGAGCACACATAATAATATATGTGAATGCAACGTTTACACATGAAACTCAAAAAGATGGACAGAGTGGGAGGAAGGAAGGACGGACCCTTTTGCTTTCATCCATGTCAGCCTTGTTACCCACCAGTATCTTGTTGACATTGTCTGAAGCATGCTGCTCAATGTTACGAACCCAATTCCTTATGTCTGAACATAAGATGGAGTCGGTCAAATTGTCCTGCAAATGAAATTAAAACGTTTTCCAGGCACAAGAGCCTTCCCACAACATCAAATTGAAGCATTGAAGATAACTGGGGCAAAAAAAAAATCGCGCGTGCACACTTAAGGGAATAACACAGTTCAAGAGACATGGTATGTGTAGAAACAGTACATGCAGGGTGTAACCTGAAAACTAAGGGAGGAAGAAGACATTACTGTTAAAAGATGACTCGTCAGTCACGTCATACACAAGCAAAATACCCATGGCTCCACGATAATAAGCTGCAAAGAGGGGGCAAAAGAAAGAAAAATGAATGAATGCACTCATGACAGAGGTTTAACAATGTATACAAAGGATCGGTCAAGTCAATGAACATGTAAAACTGACAGACAAAGCAACATATCCATTTATACAGTAATATCCCTTAAAGGGAACCTAGTGCTAGTTTAACACCAACAAATGCGAAATGGATTTTATGCTTGGGAAGCAGAGAAACAATGGGGGGAACACTTGCAGACCAAATAGGTGCTAAGGATCATACGAAAATTTGATAACAAGCAGATCCAGAAACCAAGAAGCTAGATAAGTCCTGAACAAGTGAACATACATCCTACAAAGCAAGCTTCACAAGGAAAGAAAAGAAAAACAAGTGACAAGATACACTTTAAGAGAAAAACATAATCTTAAAGAATAACAGGCATTTAATCTGCAGTTGAGGCCTAAGAGCTTA